AAAAAACTATGTTAATTTATTTACTTTATTTGTTAAAGGTTTATTTTATTAACAATTTTGTTTTGAAAGCAAAGATTATTTTTCCGAACATTTATTAAAATTATATCGCTGTGTATATCATTTACTAAAAGAAAATTGCTGCGATTTAACTTGCATTATAAAAAAAAAACTTACGCTTATGTTTTGTACAAATTTTTCATGCAGACGTTTGTCTAAAATTGAATTTTGAGTAATAAAAAAATGTTTATAAAGGACAACTGAAAAAACAATTGCGATAAAAATGAGCTAATTTTTTTTTAAGAATAAAATTTAAATATTGAACAATTTTAGTAATATTTTAAATAAATTTGACAGTTAAGTTAAACCCAAGCATTAACTTTAATTTTAATAAACTTAAATATATATTTTAAATCAAAATCAAATTATATATTTTTAAAATCTAAATTAAATTGAATATTTTTTAACAGAATAAAATTATATTTTTTTAAAATTAGTTTTAAATTAAATCATATATTTTTTATCAGAATTAATTTATATTATTGTGATCTTTGCTTCAAGCTTAAAGTATCAGCATTTTCCAAGCGAAAAAATCAATCATTACAATAAAAACAAAATCAAGATAAGTTTTTAATTTTATTTGAGATTTTTTCATTATTAAATAGTGCTTAGATCTAACATAATTGTCATTCAAACTGTTATAACAAATATTTTAACATAATCGCCATTCAAAAGTTAATGTAGTTTTTTTTTTTTAAATGAATCACTTCTTTTATCTTACCATTTATAGAACAATTTGAAAGTTAATTACTGCTTATGTAAAATGGCTTAAGGCATATGTAAATCACTCTACACATAAGACTTTAAAACAAGGTCGATATATATATATATATATATATATATATATATATATATATATATATATATATATATATATATATATATATATATATATACATATATATATATATATATATATATATATACATATATATATATTATATATTATTGCAGAACTTAATAGTGTTAGTAGTGCGCTTTCGAGCCTGTTTGACATGGTACCCTTGGCAGCCATTGCAAGCAAGGTAATAGCGAGAAAGAATCGCAGCACTTTTTTTATAAGAAAACGTGAACAAACGCATTTCCAAATACCTAACATATGTAAACTTTAAATCAAGTAATATTAAAACATGTTAAAACACACTGAAACATTTATCAAGTTTTACAGTTTGATTTTTACTTGAAAATTGCATCAAGCTCTCCTTAATTTTGATCTATAACATTTTTTCCCTTAAAAAAATCATTACATTGTTTTAAAAATATTCGCTTGAGTATGTGCCAGTGTAGCCAAGTGGATAAGCCGCCAGGTTTCATAAGAAGTAAGCAGAGGTTCGATTCCTTACAATGGCGGCTTTTTTTTTTAAATTTTTTTTGATGATTTTAAAATACAAAATAATTTTGAAGTTTTATAAAGATTATATACAAACAAATGTAACATAACAATATTATATTATACACTTTCACAAAAGAAAAGATTTTAAGAAAGCTAAAATTCCATAAAACATCAAAACCAAAAAAAACATCACAGAGAGAAAAAATTTGTTGCGTATGTATGATGATTGTGTATGTATGATGAATGAGACACTTATGTTGTTAATGTGCACAGGTAATTAGTCATAAGCTGCGGATGGTCTGAAAAAAAGTTGTCTGAAACTTAATAAAGAAAAAACTATATTAAATAAATAAGAAAGTCCTGCTACTCAAGAAGGTGCTTCTGTGGAGACAAAAAAAAAAAAAAACCCGTAGCTAGAAAAAAATTTTAAACTTTTTTTTGACAATGAAAAGCTTTTTTAGCTACGCTTATTTTTTTTACTATAAATATATGCTGCAGCTGTTTTTCAAAACGCCTTAATATGTTTATTACGTATTTCGAGAAAAACACAATTTAAAAAAAATTATTAAAAATCAACTCTTTGTTAAACGCTTTTTGAAACGAATAATTTTAATGAATTTTTTCAGAACTCTTTGAAAATATGTATTCAATGTTTGTAGACATTTTGTAAAAAAGTCAAAAATGATATATTTAAACTTAAGGCATTTTGAAAAATGGCTGCAGTATGGATGATACAAAGAATATGTTAAAATGAGATAATTTGACACAAAATTTAAAAGCTCTTAACAAAAGCCACTAAACCAAAAAAATTAAAAATAATTGCTTAAAAATTTTATTATAGTGAAATTTTTTATTTTAGCGAATATAGTAATTGCAGTTCAAAATTTTATTATAGCCCTTGAAAATTTTATTATAGTGCGTTGGTTTTTGCAAAGAAACGCTATATAAATCATTTTTTAACTTTAATATAAACTAATTTTTTTTTTAAACTTTTTTTTTAAAACTAATGTTGCGCTTAACCATCTCTATATAAACAATGTATATATAAACATATATGCTATTTGTTTATATATATTGTTTATAAAATGTAAAAAATCCACTTATATAAGGTTTTATTCAGGATCGTAAGTAATATAAGTAAACTTTTCTAATAGTTATAAGTTTTTTTTGCTCAAGCAAAAAAAACTTATTTGTTTTGTTCATCAAACTTATTTGATGATTTTTGTTTGTTTTAATTTTTTGTAGTTATGTTATATTTAAAAAAACTGACAAGATTAAAAAAACACGAAACATATTTTCACTTCTCAGTGGAAACTTTGAAACTTCATTTGCTCCTCTTTTGATAATTTCTAATTTCTAAAGTTATGTCATCTGCTATATAGACCTTTAAAAATGAGGGGGGAAGGGTTCGAGATAAAAAGGACAAAAAAGAACAAGGGGAGGAGGGGAGTTTGTCAGAAAAGGACGTCACTTTATAGATTTTTTATTTTAGTTTACTTAACATGAAAAACTATGTGAATATGTGTTTTTAAGAAGATAATGTATGAGAATATTTTTAATCTTATTTTTCAAGGTGTAGCAGCAGATTCAAATATCATTGCGAAATAAAATAATTTTTTGGGGGTTTAAATTGGGGAGGGGGGAGGGCAGGATTTTATCACATCTTTTTCAAGGGGGTATAGGGAAAAAGGACAACCGGTGACAAAGGGGAGGAGGGAATCAAAAATTGGCTAAAATATGATGATGTCCTTTATGGATGGCTCCAAAACTATTTATTTATTACTATTGTAATAAATACAATCTCTTATCCATGAAAATGATATATTTGTACCAGTTTTATATACTTTAATGCATTTGTATGCAAAATAATAAAAATTAATAAAAAAATATAAGATAAATGCAAAAGGAAACCTGATGCATAAAGGTTTATTTTGCCACAAACTGACGTCAATGCCCAAAATCATTTTGGCTTAACTTTTAGATAAGCGTTTAATATTATTCTTTTAGTTCTTAATCATAAGAATTAATTTTTTATTATGACTTTGGTTTAGTGATCTTAGATCTTCCTAATTTGAAAAAATGAGAAAACTTGAAAATTTTTTTAAAAATTTTAGAAATCTTTTTTTCTATATTCTTATTTTTTTGCTATGAATATATAAGCAAGATTGAAAAAATTTCAAAATTTATTACGCTAAGAAAAAACAAAACAACACTGACGACAGCGCATTTAACCACTGCGCTATCAATGAAATGCATTTAGCAGAAAAACAAACCTAATTACAAGCCTCTTATAAGCTCTACCTATGCGGAAAAGGTGCTCATGTTTTTTTTGTTTATAAATATAAATCCTTTAATGAAAAATTCAATCACACATGGTAAACACATATAGATAACATATAAATCTGTATCTACATTTCAACAACATATCTATTAAAAGAAAATATTATCTAAATAAGGATGAGTTCAAACAAAGATAGTTTATCTATGAAAGAACAAAAAGCATGCAAAAGATGTAAACAGGCTGTATGTGCATAAGGGTGTATAGGTGTAATGTGTAAGTCTGTGCTGTTTATGTTGTTTAGTAGAGTCTTGTATTGTTAGTAACCAGCGTAAAATATTTGTCTCTGAACTAAACCAAGCCAGCCCAGCCATACTCCAGAAAACCATGATGGATTAAACACCTATGCATGGATTTATAACTGCCTTATGACTAAAAAGCTAGCCCAGGCATCCTCCACAGACAAACATCCTCTTTCGCGAATTTTATATGCCAAAGTTTTTAAATAATTAATTTTTTTTATGACTTTGGTTTAGTGCTCTTAGATCTTCCTAATTTGAAAAAATGAGAAAACTTGAAAATTTTTTTTTTAATTTTAGAAATCTTTTTTTTTATTTTCTTATTTTTTTGCTATGAATATATAAGCAAGATTGAAAAAATTTCAAAATTTATTACGCTAAGAAAAAACAAAACAACACTGATGACAGCGCATTTAACCACTGCGCTATCAATGAAATGCATTTAGCAGAAAAACAAACCTAATTATAAGCCTCTTATAAGCTCTACCTATGCGGAAAAGATGCGCATGTTTTTTTTGTTTTTTTATTTTTTGTTTTCAGAATAAATTATTTTACTAAAAATATTGAAGTAAATAAGGAATAGGTATAGATATTTTTGGCTAGAAATATGTAAATTGGTAAAGACCTGTATTTTACGGATCGGGAAAGCTAGGATATATAAGGAAAAAGTTCAGTTTGGAATAGGTATACAAAGGCCCATATTTTTACGGGGCCAATCTCAGCTAGTATATAATATATATATATATATACATATATATATATATATATATATATATATATATATATATATATATATATATATATATATATATATATATATATTATACAATGATAAATCATGATATAAATGCTTTAACACATACTTTTCTTATATATAATGGCAATGAAATTAGAATAATGTTACTTTATACAAATATGTACTAATTTTATACTTAATATGAACTTAGAATAGTGTTAAGTTATATATACTGTATATATTTACCTTATAATGTTTGTAAATATTAAATTCAAGATAACTATGCATTATACTTACACCGTGAAATATCTTTTCCTTCAGTTTGCTAACATTACTAATTTTTCCATCATCTTCCATATAAGCACACCAGCTTTCTAGGTCTAAACACATTTCTCGTGCTGCTGGTATTATAGGACCTAGCAAATCCGGCTGCGAAGAAAAGATTTTAATAATTTTTTTCATTTTTATTTTACAATTTACTAAAGAAAAAAAAATTTAAATACGATGTAAATTTTTATGAAAATTAAATTTGAATGAATCTCTGTCAGATTTTTTAAAAATAGTTATAATTATTATAACAAGTAAAAAATTTAATGTCATTAAAACTTATTATTAAAATCTTTTTAACAAAATGAAATAAAAATCAAATTAAATTTTTTATGGTAACAAGTAACGTTTACTTTTAAATATCTTGAAAAGGCTTTAAAAATTATTTTTCAATAATATTTATCATTTACCATTAAAATTATCAACAAACTGAAGTGAGACAGATAAGGTAAAAGTTTTTAAATTTAGATTTACATTATGAATTTATTTTAAATTTCTTTTACATCTTAAGTTTAGTTTTGAATATGCAACAATTTGGGACTACCAATGTTTATATTCTATTTTTTGTAATCACCTTGTACATCAATATTCTGATTTTATATATATTATTTTTATAAAAGATTTCTCACTATTTATCCCAATGCTTTTAATTCCTCGTCTCTGTCTGCCTGTAAACATCAAACCTTGCAATCAATTTTTGAGCCACTTCCTGATGATTTTCTTCAAATTTAGCATACATGCTCTTGCTTGATGACAACACAATATTCAATAATTAGTTTTACAAAAAGTCAATTAATTTATTTAATTTTAATTAAGTTTATTTTTTATATCGGAAGAAGAATAATAATTTTTAAACTAAGTATATCATTTGTACCTACTTACATGAGCGTTTAACTTATTTGGATAAGGTGTTGAATTCATATACAGAATGTCTGTGGTTCGAGACCCGTCTCTTCCTGAATTTGTTTTGATTTTTTACACTCGCATACAGCCATGTTTTACACAGCCAAATGTTAATAAAATAATAATATCAGAAAAAATTCATAAAAATGATTTTTGAGAAAAATTTGTGTTTTAATAACATAAAAGCATTGGGTTTTAAAAACTCATTTTTAATTTTACTTGTTTTTTCTTAATATGGATTGAAATAATTTAGTAGTATTAATATTTTATAAAGTTTTTTTTTCAAAGATCAATTTTTTTTAAATCACCAAAAATCTTTGTTTTTATAGACCAAGACTCCAAGGGGAGTTCATATTAAAAATAATTTGGTAATAAATGTAATTATATTTATACCTATATGATTAACACATTAAAACTACTTTTAAAAAAAGGCTAAAAACTAAAGATACACTTTCTTAAATATTACATTATATTTATTATTAAAAAAAAAACAATAAAAAAGTCTGTTTGTTTGTCATACTGACTGCATCAAAGTGTAAATTTTAAGGCAGTTTAATTTTATAACCTTCATATTGTTTTATTATCTTTATTATGACAATTTATTTATTTAAATTTAAAACATGATTTTTTTAAAATATATTACAATTAATTGTGCATATTTCAACTTTTTCAATTTGTGCTGCCAACTTTGTAGGCATTACATTGATAATATATTTATTTTATTTTTCTAAAAATGATACCCATATTAATTTACCTTTTTTACTTTGCATTGAGCACTACATTGCTTTCATTTTCTTCTTTTCAATTATTCACAATACATTTTTCACAATACATTTTTCATTCTCACAGCAAAATAAATAAACAGATATTTAAGCCCCAATAAACCAAATATATTTAAAAAAGAATTCTTAATAAGGTTTATATCTATCTTGCAGAATATAGTTGTAATATTATAGAAAGAAAGAGGTAGTTAAAGTGACTATTCCACATATTGAATAAATGAAGTCGCTTATTTGACATTTATGTTGTTAATACAATTTTAAATTTAGGTTAAATTTTTTCTTGTTAGTTAAAGTTTTTGTGTTAATGTTAAAGTCTTATTAGTTAAAGTTTTTTTTTTCAACTCTTCTTTTATGCTACTTTAAAACATTTGTAAAATAGTTTCTATTGATTTTATTATTATCTATCCTTACAACCTCCACCATTAAAAAAAAAAAATTATACCTTAGTAAAAAAATTGTTTTTCTTCATATTTTTATTATTAAAAATCTATTAATAATAATCTAATAAAATTATCATTACAATTGTTATAACATGTAATTGGCTATTTATGAAAAGTCTAACTTAATGTGCTTAGTTATAACCATTAAGATATGACATCAAATTTAACAGTTTTAACGTGGATAAATCTGATAACATATATAACTTAAAATAATATTTTACTTTGTTATTTATTTTTTAACTTTATTGTATTTTTTGTATCTAAATAATAATTCTATTTTAAATTTAACTATAACATAAAGTTATTTTTTTAGATAAATTGATTGTAAGTTAATAATTTAATGAGTTTAGTTACTGTTTAATGCACTTAGTTACATTTGTTAATTATTCTCTTGCTTAGCTTCTTCAACTCGCGTAACTTCTTCAAGTCACATAACTTCTTCAACTCACGTAGCTTCTTCAACTCGTGTAGCTTCTTCAACTCGCGTAGCTTCTTTTAACTAAACCGTGTTCAGTTTTAACTCAGTTTACTCTGTAAATTTACGCTTTTTTTTTCTTGGCTTTTTAACAGTCAGATAGAACTCAGTAGGTTATTATTTTTTGGAGATTTGAAAGCAGTAAGCTTTCAAATATTTTTATTTATTTTTTTAAGTTCTCCTTTAAGAGCAGGTTGGTAAGTAATTCATACTGTTTTCATATTTTTTTTACAATATATTTTTTTAATATTTTTAACATTTTTATTAATTTTGCAGAATAAAAAATGTTAATGTTCCTATAAATAGTTTTTTCCATTTAAATCTATTGTCAACACCCAGCCTCAATGAGATGTTTTTCGTATATATTTTTTAGTTATCTTTTTTATTTTTGACAATATATTTTTACTATTTTTATTTTAGTTTTTCAATTACTGAAAGAAAGAAAATGTAAATGTTCATATATATATAGCTTTTTTATATGTTGATCTATTGTCAACATCCAGTAAGATTAAGTGAGATTTTATAATTTTTAAGTGAGATTTTATAATTTTTATATGTTTTTATATATGTTTTTAATTTTTTACAATATACAAGCCTTGTATATTTTAATACTTAATAATCTAATACTTATTAAACATTAAATTACAGTATTAATATTAAGATTAAATTACTAATACATTTATTAAAACTATAAATAAAATGTAAAATAAAAACTTTAAATGTCTTTAATGTTTTTTAAATATATTATAAATGTATTTTTACTAATTTTTTACTATATAAAACAAGAAAATAAATTATAATTTTTTTTTTTTTTTTTTAACAATACGTATAAAGGTGAAAATATTCTATATTACTTTTGTAAACATAATAAAATGTTAAATACCTCATCAGTTTGCAAAAATTCATACTCCTCTCCATTTTCCAAATTTTGTTCATCATTATTTTGTGGTCTTCTCTCAAATAAATCATTATGACCAATTGTTCCAAGAACATACTGAGTGACTTTGGAAAACCCACTGAGTGTTCCATAATATGTGTTATTAATAAACTTCTAAATTTATAAAACTTGTTTTCAAATTTATATTAACAAAAAAAAATTATGATTTATTGCCTTTCATTTTTACTTTTATTTTTTATATGCTTTTCGTTATTATAATCATTAGCACATTTTTCATTTTTAATATATTACCAATTAATATAAATAAAATAAACTACAATTAATTAAAATATTTATAATGTCAAAAAAAATATATAGTCAAGCTTTTTTTTTTATGTGACATCTGCAAACTCAAAAATTTATCTTTTTTCTTTCCCCTTATCTAACTCAAATAAATAATAAATAAAAAATAGCTATGAAATGAACCAAAAAAAACAAACAAAATATACTAAAATTATAATAAAATAATAAAAATACCAAAAGCATATTACTATCACTATAGCTACCAAATTATCGCCCAACTTGCCATTGTCTAACCTAAGTGACAAGGTACACTTTTTGCAAAACTCATCTATACATAATCACACATACATGTACACTTGATATTGGAGAAATCCTCTAAGATCAAGAGAGTGTGTAAACCTGTAAGTTTCTAGTAAGAGTGTGTTCTCTACTCCATAATCCAAAATGGTTCTTCCCTATGCCACCCATTTATGCATAATCCTTTGTGCCACATTTCTGTGAACCATTGTGCAACCTAATCCTTTCGAATGATATTTGATGAGAGATTTTTGTTAATAAACACGCTCTTGCAAAAAGAAAGATTAACCTAAAGTCAACCTTTCTTTTTGCATTTTTTTTTACAATAAAATTTAAGATATTTTTTAAATTTACATCCTTAATCATAATTTCATATTAAATAATTTTTTAAATTTATTTTAGGTAAACTGTTCAAGTGATTGAAGCCCTGTTTGTCTGTCTATCATAATCTATATTTGCTTGTCATATCATTATCATATCATTTATTATCAGTGTCTATCATTTCTGAAGATTGTATTAACTATTATATGAACATATAAAAATTTACATTGACTGATCTTTCTTGATTATCTTTAAAGGGATTGCCGAGACAAGTTGTGTTCATATTAAAGAAAATGTTTAAAAAAAACATTTGGGCTAAATTTTTTTGATTGAAACTAAATAATGAATGCATACCAACAAAATTATTGTTTTAGTCGAAGCTCGCCTTCTCCATTTTTTTTTGGTTCTCGGGGTCAGTATAATGTTAGCCGCAATCTGGAGACTTGATAATTTATACCATGCGTGTTAATTCATAACAGTTTTAGTATATGACATCATCGCAATATCTTTTTAAAATAGCGTTTTTTTTTTTGTTTTTTTTTTTAAAGATACAAGTATTTTTTACTCTACTACAATCAGAAAATCAAGTATTTGCATAATTTATTACTAAATCACAAAAAATATTTGTGATTTAGTAATAAATTATACAAATATATATATATATATATATATATATATATATATATATATATATATATATATATACTGTAAAAAATTATACAAATATATATATATATTTATATTTTTTTCTATTTATAATTTTTTTTTACTTGCTTTATTATTACTTTGTTTTAAAAGCAAGTCAAAATCATGACACAATTATACATATTTTGTGATTATTAGAGTTCGCAGGCAGAGAAAAAATAAAGGCAGTATGATGCGGTTTCTCGTTTTATATTTAGTTCATATGGTTTAATAGAGTTGTTCGTTTTATGTTTAATTTGCATTTAGTTATGGTTTAAATCTTTCACTACTGCAAGCCACTGGTAGCGGCTTTCAAGTATGCTTTGCAATTTATCTTTTTTTTGTACATAAATTTCCATTCTAGACACATAGAATTTGTTTGTTCTAAAGGTCTAATAAATTCTCTTTATAATCAAGAAAAAATAAGAGCTATATTGTGTAATTATAAAAAAGTTTACAAAGTTAAAAAATCTTTAATAGTCTTTCTTGAAAAAAAACTTTAAATTTAGTTATAAAATAAAACAGCGTTAACACTGTAAAACTTAACTTGTAGAAGTGTTAAGTATTTAGTTAAGTAATTACCAAATTATTTTGAAGAAAAAATATTATTTTTATTCATTAAATGAGGTTTGTTTTGGACTTAATGTTTTAGTTAACTAGTTACTACTTATAAAAACAATAGTTTTAAGCACTTTTGCATTTCTTATTATTTAATGATGCGTGTTAAAAAACTATTATTATCCAATTTTAAATAATTGTAAATGTGATGCAATTCAAATGTTATTCAAAAAAATGTGCATTTGCTACAAAAAGATTTTTGTTCGGCTGGTAGCGAACAATTTAATACGATTTTTTGTTTTTATATTTATAATATAACTATTTTTTGTATACTTTAGTACAAATATTTGTTTTAACTTTAATTTAGTTTGATTTGAACGGTTATTAGTAAAATAATTTGTTTAATATCATTATTCTACTTAGTTCAGCTTATATGTTTTATTCAAGTCACTCGTTTTTTATTCAGTTTATACTTTAAATTAACTTATACGTTTTAGTGAAATTATTCTTTTAGTATCTAGTTTATATTTAGTTTAAACCAGTACATTTACTGTAAATATTCGTTATATATTAAATTTTTATTTTTATAAATTTTATAAATTTAATTCTTAATTTCATCATAAACTTTTTTTGGGGATTTAGTAAAAAGTTATACAATTAACGTGATTTGGTGATTGTGGCAAAAAAAATAAATAAATAATACGACATTTTGAAAGGAAAAATTTATACAATTTAGACATCATATACCAAAACTGTTATGAGCTTCAATTAAAAAGTGAATTTTAAATTTAATGGTGTGCATTCATTATATAGTTTTATATCAAAAAAATTAAACCCAAATGTTTTTTTTAAACATTTTATTTAATATGAACACAACTTCTCTTGGCAGTTGGGGATCCCTTTAACATTTTAATAACAATATTTAAATATATTTTCAGTGTATTTTAAGTATTTAAATAATAATGTCATATTACATTAGGAGCAACTTAACAATAATACACATTCGTGAATGTTTCACAAAGAACTCACCGAAGCCATTAAAGCTGATTTAATGGTGAGCAAAAAGTCTTTCAGCACTTCTTTTATAAAAAAATCTGGCTTTATCTAGGTTATGTAAATTTAAAACTATGTATGAAAACTATGTAAATATTAAAGTTTATTTTAAATCATACACTTTTACTTTTCAAGTTTTTTATAACTAATTTGAGTTCGTGTTAGAAAAAGGGGTATGTAATATGAGTATATTAGAAAAGGGGCTCTTTAATATATAATAACTATAAAACTGTTTTGTTTTGCATTTTGAAAAATAAAAAATTAAAAAAAAAACAAGCTGAAGATTTGAACCTTAACTACACTGTAAGCAAAATCTAAATCTTAAAAAGTATGTTTTTAACTGGAACATAATTGAAAATCTTAAAATATAACATTTTGTTAAAATTGTTTCATGTTAAATGAAATAAATTTTAAATCTACTAAATAACAAAGTAATAAGCAAATTTGGGGGTTACAACAATTTTTCCACTCCCTGTTTAAAGCATCTGAACTGAATGCGCAACAATGAAAATATTTAAAAAACCATCAAAATAGTATTATAGTCTAATCTAATGCATGAGACATTGTCAATACGTAAGCAGTTAGGTTATCAAATCTGTATTTCTTATGTAAGTTTTCTTATTTAAACTTTATAAATCTTCAAAGTAAAGTCTGTCATGTTAATCGGTCATAAAAAATGTACTTATAGAATATACATTTATTTATAAATATATATATTTTTTAAATTTTTTAAACATCTTGACTTCCAACAAGGCTACACAACCACTATTAGAGTTGGAAGTTAATGGAAGAGAAAAGATGGCGTTCATTAAGCAAGATATCGCTTAACAGACAACTAAAAGATTGCAAATTATATGAATCTGGAAAACAGGATGTACAAAGCGAATTCCAAAGAACTGATGTTGGCATGATAAAAAATAGACAAATAAGAATTTTTAGAGCACTTAGGAACTGTCACAGTAAAAAAATGAGATATAATTGAATGCGAGAAAAAAAACGAGTAACACAAGAATGAATTTTAGTAGATGGCACATGAGATGCTAGCAAAGCCCATTATAGTATTTATACAAAAGAGAAAGAGAAACAACATTACAATGATGTGACAATGGTTAAAGGTAAATATATGGTTTCTAAATAAAGGTAAATAAAAGGATTAGAAGAGTTAATCTTAGAAGATGAAGGGTAGATGACTCATAGAATACATTACTGTTCATAAATATAACAAAGTCTAGATTATTGTGATCTAATTGATAATTAAAGACTTAAAAACCTTGCCTATGATAAGAAGAATGCCTATGAAAGACTAATGGGACGGTAGATGGACAGATACCGCTTTCCAGCAGACTAGAAAACAATACTCTTTTAAGCACTTATTAAATAGTTTTGAAGGTATAGATGACAGCTCCCAGGAAATCTTCTGCAAGATTATGAGGTATTTTGCTTAGACCACAAGCTGTAAAAGAGTATAAGCAGGAAATCATTTTAGATACAGAAGCTGGAGTGATGCAAATGTCAAGCAATGGATCAATGGTTTGTAAGCTATATCAGGTAGGATTTGATTGGTGGAATCAAAAGATAAAATTGATGAAAAGTTCTTAGCAAACAATTCAGCTTTGTCTTTAAGTGAGGTAACAAAATCTAAGCCATACAGGAGAGGTGGAACAACAGATTTGCCCTTATCATAGATACTGTTAAAGATTTTTCACAAGTCTCTGGAGCTTAATTTTTGATATGAAATACAAGATTTTGTAACCTGAGAATAGCAGGCTTTGACATTAGACAAAAGCTTTTTACAATGGTTACTAGCAATAGTAAACAGACATCTGATTACTAGAGAATTTTTTGCAGAAAGAATAAAAAAGCAGCAAAAAACCGTAGAGAAAAGTGAGGCTTGACTTGGAATCGTTGAGGAAATAAAAAATTGCTAGCCTGAATCAAAAAAGCATATTTGTCAGCAGGAAGACAAAAGATTTCTACCAAAGGGCCATCACAAAGAAAATCAGGAAATAGTCCCAGTCAACTTTAAGGTGGCACAATTATAGGGGGATTCTGATGATGGGTTGGAAAGTTAAATATTTGTGTTAGAGATTGAGAAAGAAAAAAGTTGTGGGCCTTAATACCTACAGAGCCACTGACACCAGAAACAATTTATTCAGTGTTATAAGCATTAAATTCACCAACAACAACAATGTTGGCTGAAAGATTAAGAAAATGGATTTAGTTGATTTGATCAGAAATAACATCATAAAGAGTGGAGTCGTGAAATGAAGGAAACTGATATTGAACAAAGATAGTCTGTGGATTCAAATGTTGTTTCCCAACAAATTGATGATTTTTTACGAATGTAAACGAATGCCGAGGACAAGCATCTGACTATTGGAGTCTTTACGAATTAAAGAAAGATAAGAATCAACATTAAGATCACAAGATGTTAATTTTGTTAAAAATCACCAATATTTTTGAAACATGGCACAAATGTTTATAGACATATGTTTGGAAAGATTGTAATTTTTTTTCATAAAACTTCTTACCGTTTATAATTTACAGCAATTTGAAGTTTCCTTGATTTTGACAAAAAACTGAGGGGGGAAAAGTGCCAAAAATCATTCTGTTTACTTTCACCTTAATATGGTACTTGTAGTGATGCCACAACTCTGAAACTTTGTACCAAAAGAGTTTAAAACCTGTTAAATCCAAAAATTGTAGTTTTTTATACTTCAAAACAAGGGAATGTAGCTTGTTTAAAGATCCATAAAATACACTTTATAACGGCAAGAAAAAAGGGCATTGACAATTATAGCTATAAAAAAAATCTGACTGATATAAATTTAATTTCGATTTTCTTAAAAATAAGATCAACACCTACTTTTCGAACCAATTTTGTTTTGGCCTTATATTTACTTGAAGAATTATTGATGTTTGATATAGACACAAAGTTTTTTAATATTTTTTAAATTAGACACTAAATATAACCCCACCTTTTACCAATCAATCAAATTAGAAACTAAAAATTTAGTAACTATATTATCTTTTTCATTTTCATATGATATTTACAACAAAATTTAAACGTATAAAAACTTTTTTTTAAAAATACTAAACTTTAGTGATTTTATATATGTTTTACATTCACATTATTTACAAGTTGGTTCACAAAACATAATATTTAAAAAAAGAATGGTTAAGACATAATAGACTCATAAATATAAAAATCTCTACTTCCTTAGGAAAATAATTTTTTTTAAGTCCTATTTGGCTAAATAGTAGCAAAGTCCTGTTTTTGTTATCGGTACCTTAACTTTGCAAATAATGTGGACATCAGGAATCCAGCATTGGCTTTCCTTTGGTGGCCATTTAAACGACCGTACAGGACCATTAGGACACAAAAATTTTACAAGCACATCTTTTTCTTCTAAATTAATATCTTCAATGACTCCTATCCACCACTTTTACTCATAGGAAACACAGGCATAATCACCTGGTACTAGGTTTACATTTGCTATCTGGATATTTCTAAAGCCATGAATTAAAGCAAATTCTTCATCAACACTGCATAGCTTAGTGCCTACCTAAACAAAATAGTAACATATGCAATTATTCCGTTTTACTTATCAAACATGTTTTATTAAATGCATAGATAGCAAATGCAGAGGAAATAAAATAAAATACAAACATTTTTGATAATGATTCTCCTAAAATCTAATATCTATTTGAGTTTATCAATAAAAGTTATGCGTGTATTTAAAATATGGTAAAAGGTTTAATTTAAAAATAATAATTTACTTTTTGATGGCCAAGTGGTACAAACTGATGGTAACTACATGTTCCAGGTATTGTATTAGCAGTATCCAATCCCTCTTTAAGAGCGGTTCTCACCAAAGTTAATTCTTCTGATGAAATATATATGAAATTTATGTCTTCAATGTTTTTATTGCAATATTTATACATTGTTTGTTAGGCATGGCTAAAATACCTTTTTCTAATGTTAACTTACATGCAGTTCGAGCTACATAGTTTGTTACATGCAATGTTTCAGATACCTTTTTTATTGACCAGTCTGTTGGAGCAAGTGTCGCAAGTTGTACTTTTTTTGATGTTGATGTAGACTCTGCAATTTTGTTAGTTAACAATACCATCATGTTATCAAACAAGTTTGCTTTTTCCATATACTCATTATTAAAACTTGACTGTATTTCAAAACTTTCTTCTAATATATTAAAGGAAATGGCTACCTTTTTTTAATGGAGGTTGATAATGCTGTCAATTTTTGTTTACCTTCTCTGATTTTACCTGACTTGTGCAATCCTTTGACCTTAATTGGAGATACTCCGGCAGATGCAAAGTGTCTATCTACACTTTCTTTTTTATTTTGAATGGATCTTTCATTAACAATATCAAAATCTTCATCATTTTTATTTTCACTTATACTTTTTGATAAAAATGTCATAACTTTACTTCGACAGGTTGGACACAGTTATTTTCCAGGTATAAGATTTAAACTTATGGTTTCTGCTTCTAACACAGTATGCATTGTAATCACACGTAGAGATGCTTAAAAAGAAAGTAATTACATTACTTAAATAACATTAATTATATATATTATGTAATTATATTACTATACAATTTGTTATATTAATAACTATGAAACATTGAACAAATCTTATTACCAAAAAAACTTATATGACTTATTAATAATGATATTACCTAATGAAATATAAATATATAAATTTTTACCTCTACACACCTTTTGGTGATTTAGAAATGGATCACAGCAACTTTTCTGATTACCCTGATATCTTACAACTAACATATCATGATGGTGTGTGCATATATTGGTAATTTGTTGTTTCAGATTTGTTCGTTTTTCAAGTAGCTTACGATCATTGTTGTCAATATCTTCAATCAGATTTCTTTCTTGAGTATATCATTGTTTATAACAAGCTCCATGATTATTTACAAAGCAGCAATTAATTTTGTTATCCATATAAAAATATAATGAGGAATCTCTGTCTAAACACTTAATACAAGAATTCTTAATTAATCTTAATGTCCCTAACAAAAAAAGTACACTTGAACACAAACAATATCATATCAATATGTATTTATAAAGAACATATTGCTTGAACAAGTGGCTATTAGTTTAATAGACATATTCTAAATGCCTAACTATCTGCTAATTATTGTAAATTCTCCATTAACTACTTACAAAAAGTTGTGTAAAAGTAAAAGATAACTAATTATAATTTTATTTAGTTATGTAACTTAACATGGTAATGTTAATTAGACATTATTATATCATTTTATTATTTTTTTTTATTGATGATAATAAATGTTTTATTACAACAAAACAATCAACAACAAAAGTTACATAATATTGTTAAATTTAATGACATGATATTATGTTAATGAAAATGACATTATTATTATGTAATGAAAGTAAAAAGAAACAAATTTATAAAATGTTCAACTATGTTTTGTAATAACTTTGTAAATTTTTTACAAAGTTATTACAAAACAAAAATAATTGTATTTGTATTCAAAATATATTTACTAAATTTTTTTTTTTTGCAAAATATCTTTAAAAAAATTGAAAAACTAAAACATCAATTACTCCTTGATAAAACATAAGGTCAAATAAAAATTGGTTCGCAAAGTAGATATATGTTTAATATTTAATATAACGAAAACTAAAACTTTTTTTCATCAGACAGATTTTTTCTAGAACTACAAATTTGTTAAAAGGGTAATGGTAAATTGACATATTTCCGGCTTTATCTTTTTTCAGTCAAAAAATAACTAACTTCAAGTTGCTGTAAATCTTAAAGGGTTGAAAATTTTTTGAAAAAATTTTACAGTCTTTCCTAACTTATATCTTTAAACATTTGTGCCAAATTTCAGCGAATTTGGTGATGCAGGGTGCAACCCCTTGTTTTTTGAGAAATTTTTACCCATTGGTTAAAGAACTTGACTCAGCAAAAATAGTACTAAATACCTAAAGTTTTAACAATATTATGTAAAGTTAAAGTTGGCATCTCCTAACCTGTGCCTAATTATTTAGTAGTGTTAGCAGACAATAGTCTGCTTGTGATATTTAAAGGATTACAAGTTAGATTTATTAGTCTTATTTTACTTTATATAAACTTTACACATGCATTTTTTTTGTTTTTATTTCAACAAATTTTTTTTGTTCAAAATGTTTAAAAATGAATAACAATCTTTTTACTTTTATTTTTATTCTTAAGATCTTAAGGACTTAAAAAATTCACAATTCATCTTAAGGACTTAAAAAATTCACAATTCATCTTAAGGACTTAAGAAATTCACAATTCATCTTAAGGACTTAAGAAATTCACAATTCATCTTAAGGACTTAAGAAATTCACAATTCATCTTAAGGACTTAAAAAATTCACAACTCATCTTAAGGACTTAAGAAATTCACAATTCATCTTAAGGACTTAAGAAATTCACAATTCATCTTAAGGACTTAAGAAATTCACAATTCATCTTAAGGACTTAAGAAATTCACAATTCATCTTAAGGACTTAGAAAATTCACAATTCATCTTAAGGACTTAAGAAATTCACAATTCATCTTAAGGACTTAAAAAATTCACAATTCATCTTAAGGACTTAAGAAATTCACAATTCATCTTAATGACTTAAGAAATTCACAATTCATCTTAAGGACTTAAAAAATTCACAATTCATCTTAAGGACTTAAAAAATTCACAATTCATCTTAAGGACTTAAAAAATTCACAATTCATCTTAAGGACTTAAAAAATTCACAATTCATCTTAAGGACTTAAGAAATTCACAATTCATCTTAAGGACTTAAAAAATTCACAATTCATCTTAAGGACTTAGAAAATTCACAATTCATCTTAAGGACTTAAGAAATTCACAATTCATCTTAAGGACTTAAAAAATTCACAATTCATCTTAAGGACTTAAGAAATTCACAATTCATCTTAAGGACTTAAAAAATTCACAATTCATCTTAAGGACTTAAGAAATTCACAATTCATCTTAAGGACTTAAGAAATTCACAATTCATCTTAAGGACTTAAGAAATTCACAATTCATCTTAAGGACTTGAAAAATTCACAATTCATCTTAAGGACTTAAGAAATTCACAATTCATCTTAAGGACTTAAAAAATTCACAATTCATCTTAAGGACTTAAAAAATTCACAATTCATCTTAAGGACTTAGAAAATTCACAATTCATCTTAAGGACTTAAGAAATTCACAATTCATCTTAAGGACTTAAAAAATTCACAATTCATCTTAAGGACTTAAGAAATTCACAATTCATCTTAAGGACTTAAAAAATTCACAATTCATCTTAAGGACTTAAGAAATTCACAATTCATCTTAAGGACTTAAGAAATTCACAATTCATCTTAAGGACTTAAGAAATTCACAATTCATCTTAAGGACTTAAAAAATTCACAATTCATCTTAAGGACTTAAGAAATTCACAATTCATCTTAAGGACTTAAAAAATTCACAATTCATCTTAAGGACTTAAAAAATTCACAATTCATCTTAAGGACTTAAAAAATTCACAATTCATCTTAAGGACTTAAAAAATTCACAATTCATCTTAAGGACTTAAGAAATTCACAATTCATCTTAAGGACTTAAAAAATTCACAACTCATCTTAAGGACTTAAGAAATTCACAATTCATCTTAAGGACTTAAAAAATTCACAATTCATCTTAAGGACTTAAGAAATTCACAATTCATCTTAAGGACTTAAGAAATTCACAATTCATCTTAAGGACTTAGAAAATTCACAATTCATCTTAAGGACTTAAGAAATTCACAATTCATCTTAAGGACTTAAAAAATTCACAATTCATCTTAAGGACTTAAGAAATTCACAATTCATCTTAAGGACTTAAGAAATTCACAATTCGTCTTAAGGACTTAAGAAATTCACAATTCATCTTAAGGTTTTAAGAAATTCACAATTCATCTTAAGGACTTAAGAAATTCACAATTCACCTTAAGGACTTAAGAAATTCACAATTCATATTAAGGACTTAACTCTTCATACACTCATACACAATAAAATTCACAATTCATCTTAAGGACTTAACTCACAATTCATACTCATACACAACAAAATTCACAATTCATCTTAAGGACTTAACTCACAATTCATACTCATACACAATAAAATTCACAATTCATCTTTTAGTTTAACAGTTATTAATGTTATAAAATTATACAGTTACTTAAGCAGTATTTAAATTAAAATTTGTTTGTTTCCTTGCTGAGTTGTTCTGAAGTTTTAGCTTGTATAATTTTTTTTGTTGTTGTTTGTTTCCTTGCTGAGTTGTTCTGAAGTTTTAGTTTGTATATTTATTTTTTTTGTTTCCTTGCTGAGTTGTTCTGAAGTTTTAGTTTGTATATTTATTTTTTTTGTTTCCTTGCTGAGTTGTTCTGAAGTTTTAAATTATATATATATATATATATATATATATATATATATATATATATATATATATATATATATATATATATATATATATATATATTGTATTTTTCTGTTTAGATATGAAAATAATAATAAGCTGTCAATGTTACATTTTAAATCAATTATTAGTTTTTTAATCAATATTTTTAATGAAATTACAAACAAGATTTTAATTTCATTTGTGAAAATTTTATATGATTTTATTATTTAATATAAAAGATTTGTTGCTCATTGTGAGTTTATAAAAAAATTATTTTAAGAATTCAAAAGGCTTCAACATTTTATATTGATTTTTATATTGGTGACTTTAAATTTCATTAGTCTTTATTTCCATTTTTAATTAAATTTAATCAATTGATTCTTACAGTAATTTTTACAGATTTTTATCTTTAAGTCCATTGAACTTAAACAATAGAAATAAAATTATTAATACCAAGATCTAAACAACTTCAATAATTTTATTTAAAATGTGTTTTTTTTTTAATTTGATTCCAAAGAAAAACAAATTTATCTTTAACTCTTTTTAACTTATCGCAAAAGTAATTCTATTAAATGAAATTTTGAAAATTACCCATAAATTTTTAATGGTAAAAAAGTAAAGTTAAATATAATTAACTTGTTGGTGTATTTGGGGTCACTGTTTTGAAGAAAAAAGAGTTTATGTTCTAAATTTAATTCTTTTGAATTTAGATCATTTCTTATTGAATGTATAATGACAGACAGTTGTTCTGTCATTATACTTGTAATAATCACTAGCCTTCCCACACCGTTTGAAGAAAAGCATTTCAAGCAAGCCACCTCCATGCTTGACAGTTTTTTTACGATTTTTATCTAAGAGTGCATCACAAGGTCTGCACAAAACTCTTTGTTGTTTTTTAAAGCCAAATATTTGAAATTTATTGTCATCAGATCATAACACTGAGTTCCAAAATGCTTCATCCTCATTAATTTGCAGTTTTGCAAATGCTAAACATCTTTTTTAAGTTTATACCACTAATAAGAGATTTTCTTTACTGAAGACAGTTTATTAAACCAATTAAATCAAGTATTTGTACAGTTTGACTGGAAATATTTAATTTAAGATTTTCAACAGCCAGTCTTATCTGAGGTTATTGCTGAATTTTTCTTTGCTATCCATGCAATTAGTATATCAGTTCTTGTTGAAGTCTTAGGGGGAGCAACCAAGTCTTTTCTAAATTTCATTAGAACCAGTTGTTCCATATTTTATAAACACCTTTCTAATATCATTTATTAATATTTGATACTTTTTCAGCTATAGTAAGTGACCAGGACCCCAGGCCCAAGCTAAAAATGAGACTTTTTGCAAATCCTGTCCCAGCCCCGACAAAATTATAAAATTTAGCAGGGGTTGATAGACAGGGATATAAATGAATTTATAATTCTTTATATATTACTATTTTATACCTACACTTACTATTTATTAAATTCTGGCATATATTTATGCTAGTATTTAATAAATAGGGACAGATACAGTAAAAAGATGCATCTTGTTGAATAGGAAGCCAAGAAAGAATGAGTTTTCCTTTATTGTAATAGAGATGATAGCTCGTTTGAGCCTTAATCATGATTAGAGAAGCAAGAATGAGTTTTGCTTTATTGTATGATAATGATAATGATGATGATAATGACAATGATG